CTTAGTTAGATTTGCTCTGTTTCAAAATATGCACCAAAAACAGTTTTAAAATTCAAACTGGAGCATCCTAACCAGCTCCTGTTAAGGGAAATCTAAAGTGGTGCCAGTCAGTTAAAGCAGATAGGTGGAACTGTAAGAAAGAAAGTGATTATGATCTTTAATTGATTTTTGTATCAGGCTTTTAGCTCTGGGATTTAATCTTGTATTTTAAGACCTTGAAACCTTCGATTAAAATGTCAGATTATAATAGTCACAGCAGTTCAGAGATAAAAACAAAGCTGTTCAAAAAACACATAAAAAGCACTTAAACAGCCGTACATACAGAAGTTAGGGAATTCAAACATCTTCCAAACTATAAGAGCAGATAAATGAAAATACAATTTCACTCTTCCATTTGAACTTTAAGAGACTGCGTTGAAGTTTAGGTACTGGCTGTAGATCTTGATTTATTTCAAGTTTTAAGGTTTTTGACAAGGCACATAAATTGTTTGGACGGAGCATTTTTAAGATGTGGAAAGTATCTTATAAGAGTCTTCTGGCACAAGCGGAAAAATGCAGAGTATGGACCATTAAAATGATTTGTAACACATTTAGTTTGATAGAAAAAGGCTCAAAATGCAGAGGCACTAGTTTTGCAGTTGCAGCTTCTCTTGTTATACAGTTGCACTGTTGGCTCATCACACAATTGGACCAAAATTTAACTTGAATTTTTAAGAGGTGGAAACAAACACCTCTGTTTGTTGATCTTTTTGACCTCTATTAATAATATAATTTTATGTTTCTGATGTTTAGAGGCTCCATGAGTAATAGAAATGCACCATCATGCTTCTATCTACTCTTTATTATGTCGCTTTAAAAGATGAAAGGGGTAACAATGTATTTGGAAAGTGTTAAAATCGATTTTATGTCTTTCATAGGGATTTTAAGTGACAGATCGACACACTGGGGTGTATCATTCGAAAGTGGAGAGAAATGATTATTAAAATTAATAAATCTTTGTCTAAAATGTTACATACATTTCTTAAGTTCCCCTGAGTAAACAATATATACAAACACCTTTCGTAACAATAGGAGCTTCAAGTAATTGTGTTTCTACTGGCTTTGAATGCCTAGAGAATAAAATTTCCTCCCGTTTTTCTTTGCTAAAAATGCTAAAACTCTGAAAAGCTTAAATAAATAGCTAAAAGTCCTTCACAAGTCTTTACTGGCATGGCGAGATGCAGAGGGGAGTAGGGGAACTTCTCAATAGATACAGCATGCTTGTTGTAGCAACAAGATGTAGAAATACTGGCAAACTGTGTGGGAGGAGTGCCTCCATTGTAACACACATTCTGTGGGGATCTAACACACAATATCAAGTCACAGGTCATTGTTGTGAAAGTCCAAAGCAAGTCCAAATTCTTTTCTGTTTTCATTAAGTCCAATATAAAAACATTCAATTCTTGGCCAGCCTTACATCACTCTGGGTTCAGCTGTGGACTTTCCCTGAGCCGTTCTAATTTATGGATATAACTTAACCTTTGCACTGTTGCTCTGGTTGTATGTTTAGGGGTTGTTCTCCCTCGAAAAGATGAACCTCCACTCTAGTCTTGAGACTTCTCCGTCTTCCCTGTCACTGAAAAAGAAAAGGATCCCCACAGCATAATGGCGCCACCACCATATTTTACAGTTGACATTATTGGGGACAATACAGAGATTTAGGGTTCTACTGCATTCTGCATTTGCATATAGACCAAAAAAGTCTACTATTGGGTCTTCAGTGAGCCAAGTGGTTTTCTTTTGGCTTCCCTGTAAATGGTGCTTTTCAGAAAATGTAGATTAAGATGTTTAAACCAGAAAAATATTGCATTAAAATCCAGCAAAGCTTTAAACTTCTCAACAGCTTCATATTTTGAGAAGTTTTATGCTACATAAAGCTACTATTAGATTACAGACTTACTATGACAGAGTTAAGTGAATATAAGTCTTATTTTTGCTTTTAAACCTATCAAATCAAAACTACCAGTTCCTGTTGACGTTTATCCAGCATAAATGAGTAAGAACACCATCCCAGGGCTTTCAGTTCTAATGTGCTTCCCCAGCCCCCACCTCCACTATTCACTCTCCTGTTATCAGCTCAGGGCCATCAGCTTTTACCTTGCTACCTATGCCTCTCCATTAGTCACATCACCTTGTAATACATGCTTACGGGCATACTTCTCTGTCTGGGCTTTCCGGTTTTCTTCTTCAGTCCCAGACCTTTGACCATAATCTTTATTTATTTATCTTGTTTATTTCATGAATCCATTATCGTAATCAGCGCTACCTGGGATGAGTCTGCTATTAATGACTATGATGGAGTTCAGCCAGGACAGCTGGAGCTAAGTGGATTGTTGAAGGTCACCTTTGTAGTAATGATTTCATTTTTCCATTTTCATCACTGTGCTCTGGAAAATCACCTCGTAATTGACAGAAGTTAAACCTGATAGCTCAGCTTTTACCATTTGTAAAGCAGAGGGTTTTTAAAACTCCTGCTTTTTTTAAGTTTTATCCTAATGTCCGGTTAAAGTGCCCATTTTGGACTATAGATGTATGATTGCATGCTTTAAACATGCTAGAGCTATGGCATCACAATGTGTTGAGGATTTACTCAGATCCACTTACCTTCTAATATGGCATCTCCTATAGTTGGTTCAATGTCCCACACAGAGATACGCATTATCATATAGATTCTTTTTTTTGTAAAAATTTGTTTTTTAAAAACTGATTGTATTTTAATAGTTATTTGTATGATTATTTCCACTGTAGGTTCCATGGCAGCATTATTTAATATAATTAGATTCAAAAATATGATTAATTACAGTTACATTTGATAGGTTTATAAAACAGTCGAAATAAAACAAAAACCATAACAACTCCCCTCTTTATGTAGCTGGTGTTTTTTAGTATTTGTTTTTATCAGACTATGTGTGCTGACATGTAGTAACAGCCATACATTTGCCTATAAGGCTTAAAAAGGTAGTTTATGATAAATGGCACAGAGTATTACAATCAATTTGAAGTCCATTTTGCCCACCCTTAGTTCCTTAGCAGTATACATATAGGACAGATGTGTTTATTAATCAAAAACAGGCTCCTGGCAAAACTCTTAAAGCATCTTTTTGATCAGGGAAATTGAGAGGATGCATTTAAATTCATGGTTGTCATGAGTTATTTTAACAAGCTAACAGAGATGCTGGTGAAGATTCTCAGTCATCCAGGTCCTAGTTATTCACAGGTTCACATTTAGGACAAAGAGGACAGGTGGTTTGAAAGGGGTGGGAAGGAAGCCATTTATATGAAGAGAGAAAAACCAACCTTAGACAGAAGGGGTGGTCACAGGTGTAGGGAGTGAAGGCCTAGTGGTCGGGGAATAAAGCTTGGAATCCTGAGGTTCAGAGTTCGAGCCCCAATCCCACAGACACCACACTGCTCCTGGGGCGCCACACAATGGTAGCCCACTGCACCCCAAGGGGATGGGTTAAATGCAGAGAGTTCATTTTGTTCACAGTGTAATGACAATAAAGCAGGAAAACAAAACCAAAACAAAAAACCCTACAACGCAGCGATAGAGTTGATTCCTTCCTGCTATGATCTCAGACCTTATCGCCATGCAGGGGACCAAAACATCTCGCCTGCCCAGCCAGGCTAGCAATGACCCTAATGACTCCCTTTTATTTGAACATTATCGGGCCCCTTAGGCCAACAACAACCTCAACGAATCCCCATTACTAAGGGGCCGACCAGTTTTTTCGGTTCAAATTGCATGTTTTCTAAGCCAGGCATCCCCAACCTCGGTCCTCGAGGCCCGCTGTCCTGCAGGTCTTAGAGGTTTCCTTGCTCCAGCACAGCTGATTTTAATTGAAAGCTGATTAACAGGCTTTTGGTCTACTGCAATCGCTATAATCAGCTGTGCTAAAGCAGGGAAACTGCAGGACAGCGGGCCTCGAGGACCGAGGTTGGGGATGCCTGTTCTAAGCCATAACAAGGCTTTTGTTTATGCCACTCTATAAGCCTGGAATTCAAACCCTACTCCAGACATTTTGAATTGAGAAAGCTTCCTGAATGGGAAGCGAAACCTCTTCAAACTTGGAAAACAAAGTTCACAAGAGTGTTATTTAACTTTTTTAATTTAGTTGGAAAGCTAAGAGAGACTTAATGTTGGCTTTACTCCATCTATTCCTAAACCAGTGTTGTTGTGTATCTGAGATCCTTGTCCTGTTGGATGAGCCAGTTTGTTTTTGCCAAGCTTTTGGTTTGAGGTGATGTCTAATGAATTAGTAATTACTATTTTTTATTATTATATCAACTCCTTCCTCAGCTGTAAAAGAAGCGGCCCCACTGCATAACTGACAGATACAATGTTCTCATCTTAAACACTGGTTTATTTATTATAAGAAGAGATTATAATGCTTAGTGGAAATAAAGGCATGAAAACACCAGTCTGTGTAAATTATCTATTCTTAGTGAATTGAGTTTGTCAAAAAAGGAACTTTTTAATGATATTCTAATTTAATTTAAGCATATGTTGAAACAGTTTGAGCATTAGACTCTTAACAAAGATGTAAAAGCAGAAGAAATCTGTTAGCGGGGAGCGCTTAGCAGAAGTCAATTGATGTAATTTAATTAATTCCTTCCTTTAACAGACTATACTGGTTTGTTAATTAGATATAACAGCAATCATTGGAGGTCTGTCCAGCTAAGGACCCAGCCCCCACACCACTGCCCTCCTACCCAGCACATCACTGGATTAGCTCTCTAAATTCTGACTTCCTGATCTGCCCTGCCCTATCTCAGAGCTGAGGTGGCACATCCTGTGCAGCGTACCTGTTAACCTGCAGTGCAAATCTAAATGATCAGTGGTGGATAGAAAAAAGGGAGGCACTCTGCAGTAACTCAATCTGATGCCTCCTCCTTTTCCAACCAGAGGAGAGGGCTTGCTCAGGCTGCAAGACAAAACGACCCTCTGCCTCAGCACTTTTCTCTCCCAGTCTCACTGTGTGTGTGTGTTTGTTTATGCGCGAATTGGAGAGAGTCGTGCGCATGCATGTGTCCTGGCCAAAGCCTGAATAATTGAAGAACATAGGAGGGAGTGAAAACACTGCCGGACGGGACAGAGTGTGTGGGATTGTGCAGAGATGGGGGAGAGGGATACACTGAAGCAGCAGGAGCCTGGCTACGATGGGCTCTGCAACTACGCCCAGAAAATCACCTCCTGCTTCGGACTGGGTGGTAAGACAGAGTGTGGGGGGGATGAAAGCCACGGTAATGGGGGTGATGTTTTGATTTGATTTGCGATGTTAAAAGGGCAGAGGCTTTATAAAAATGCTTATTTTCAGCTTGCAGGGGTGGCTCAGATATTTCCCTGGATGTTTGTGTGAATTTCTGAGACAGGAGTTATGATGGAGCTAGAGCAGAGGGATCACAACTAGATGGTAACGTCTTATGCAGCAAAGTGGCGTTTCTCCATCTACTCAGGTGCTTGTGTTGCCGTGTGTGTGTGGGGGAGTAAAGCTCTCCTTGGTTTACCTCTCTTGCTGTTTTTCCAGACTAAAACTCTGCGACTGTTGATAAGCAAAGCAAGCTCTTTATTTTTTTTAACTCAGCTAGCTGAACTCCAGCTACCCTGACTGTGCTCTTTCTTAGACAAAAAGGATTTCTGAATCCTGAGACTAAAAGGTCTGGGCTTTGTTCACTGTGTGCTGCTGAGTTTTATAATGTCTGCTGTTGTATTATTTTTTTTGTTGAGACTGAAACAAAAGCTAATAATAAAGAGTTTAAAAAAAAAAAAAAGCAGCACTGCCTATATGGTGACACATCTTATTATCCCCCCAAATCTTAATTATTGTTATCTTTTTGAAGCTTTGTAAAGTAATCTAAGTGTCTTTGGCAGTTTTTAATGATTCGTTGCATCCTCTGTCATTTCATATCGCAATACAAGATTAACCACATGCAAAATTCACATTTCCAGGAAACATCCTGCTATATATGGGTCATGGAAGAGAATCTAAGTCTTCATACAAAGAGGTTTTTACCCCTGTTTTAGATGATTCAAAGACTCTCTTTTGGGTTGTCTCCTGCTGCATTAATTTCTTTCAAAGAAAAAAAAAATCCCTTAAAGTTCTATATTTGGTCATCTTATATTCAAAATGTGACAAGACACCTTTTTGCATGGACCGTTTATATATTTACAGCTCTTATGAGACAGACCGACACAAAGCAGGGCGCAACCATGAACTGGAAGAAATAGGATTTTGCACCCCTTCACTTAAATGCCCCCAAATGAAATCAAGTTTAAATAACTTCTATTTGGAGGTTACCTTATTAATAAATATGTTTATCCTGTATAATACCTTATTTCAGTATTTAAAGGTTTATAGAGAACAAACAGCATCATGGAGAACAAAGAACACAGCAGATGAGTCAGGAACAACATTGCACCTCAACATAAGTATACAATAATCAGGGTGAGTGACAAGGTGGGTGGAGTGCTTTATCCTGTAAGGGATGGGATGCTGTTCAATGTTGATAAAAAGATGGGTCCAATTAATCCAGGGAAATCTAGCTTCAAAAACCAGACTAAATCTGAAATTAAATGTGTAATCGCAGGCAAAAATGATTTTGGCCGCTGGCGGTCGGGGCTAGTTTACCAGGCTAAGGGAAATCCCTAAAGAAAGCATGATAGAAAGAAAAGGCTGACAGGAGGGGAGGTTCACCTTCCTGCAAGACAAGTGATCCTAAACATAAATGGGAAACCTTTTGTTTTTTGCTGAGAAGAAACAATGTTTTATTAAAATAAATCCTGATAGCATAATTTAAATTCTGTGCTTGTAACAGGAGTAAATGTAATGATTATTTTGCACATCATTGTACTTTTACTACAAGTAATTAATCAGTCTTTTTTGCTGCCGGCTGTGTTGATTTCTATTCTTCCTTTAATGCTGTTAGTTTATCCATTTGATGTATTTTATCCATGCTCTTTCATACCATTTTAAACCATGCAGGGCAATGCTGGTGCCTCCATGGTCAAAACATTTAGAAATACTGTAACTGTTACCATCCACTGTAAATACTGAGAAAAACGGTTTTCGCAGCACTCAATGCAGAAATGCCCTGGCTAAGATTTGAACCTACACCTTTTATCCATCAAAGCATTAATACCAACACTTGTGACACTGTACTCTGCTCTAAGCTTGTTGCATGCGTTTAGACGGTTTGGGCCAGATTGGGATTCTTTGAACACATATTTGGGCTGTAAATGAATCATGTATTGAGTTCTCACACCCAACAGTGGGTGAACCAACCTGGCATGGACGAACCTAACTCCACCCAGAACGTAATCACACTGAACGTCTGCCCTAAGCTGCTTAAGGCACCAGGCTGGTTGTGGTGAAGACACTCGCAGTTTAAGCCTGTTACTCTCAGTTTGCTCCCCATGCAACAGGATGCGTTCTTTTACCTGCTACTTGCTCTTTGCTTTATTCCACTCAAAGCAGACGTCAGCACTCTGCTTCTTGTACCTGCAGCACATGTGAAGTGGACCTATTGATTTGACCATGAGCTTTTATGAGAAGGGATGGACTTCTGAGCAGCGTTGAGTCCAGACGGAGGTTGATTTCTCTCTGCAGTGTTGTGGGACAGTTGAAGGAGAACAGGCCACCATGCCCACTCTGCCCAACCTCAACAGCCTGGGAAAGCTGTGCAGCACCAGCCGTAGCCAGAGCGTGCATCGGGTCAACCGGGTTCGAGTAAAACGCAAGAGCTCGGTCAAACGGATGTCCATAATCGAAGATGGACATGTGGCCGAAGTCCTTTACCTCATTCCAAAACAGTACATGGAGCAGTTCCCATTCCTCAACCCAGATGACTATTACCTGAGTGAGAGGCTGAATGATGTCACCGCAGGTATGAGGAAAAGCTACATTAAGCATCCTCTCTTCTGATCTGTCCTTAGTTAGTTTGTTTTTGTTGTGTCTGCTCCTTAAGAGGAGTAACTTATCAGCAGTCTTTTTGATATGGGCAACATGGCTCACTGCCTAGGGCAGCATGGAATAGGGGGAAGCCAGTGACAGGAAAAACAATACAATTGTACGTTGATCAAGTTGTGTGCTAAGAGTATTTTCATATCAATTTAATGTCAATGGCAATGAATATGATAATATATAATAATTGATATTTCATTGGTTTTGAGGGAATTTCGACTACTTGATAATTAAATTCAAAATTAAAATCTGAACTTGGTTGTTCTCGAATAGACATTCTTAACACAATGTTTTACAATAATTAAGTGGTGGTGGGAACACGTCATTACTTACCAAGTCATAATAAAGTCTTAAGTCAAACCAAGTCAAAGCCTTATTTGGATAACAAGTTAATACCAGCAAGTCCAAAGTCAATTTTCATTTCCTCAGATCTGTGATTTGAATTTGACTCATGTCAAGTAGAAGTCCAAATCTTTATTATCAGGAAAAGGAAATCATTTATTTATTCATTTTTATGCTTTCATATCTACAGCTTTATATGCATGTTTATAACAACATATTCAACAAATTGACTATTTTAAAATGTGTTTCTTTCAGTAACTGTTCACTAAACTTAATAAAAACATTACTTCCAAATTCAGACTTTACTCCTGTGAACTACGATGATTTTCCATTTACAGCCAATTAAAAAAAATTTAATTTAACTTAAGAAAATTGCATCAAACTGTTGCAAAAAAAAGCATTTTTGATACACAGCCATGAGCTTGAAGAAAATAAATATTTTTAATTTATTTTCAAATCTAAGATTAATATGAGAAAGATCAGTTTTGGATGTGGTTCAGTAAGTAGAAGGGCTTCACAGAGAGAGAGACGTTCATGGAAGATTCAACACTAGTAATAAGTGATTATTCAGAAATTGACTGCTTATCGCATCAGTTGTGTAACCATAACTTCCCCAGTCCAAAAAATAAAGAAGACAGAAATTTCTGTTCTTTCTGTCATTATGTAAAGCAAACCCATGTGGGAGGACAGGTCTGCTGGATGTTGCCCAGCAGACGTAGGAGACAGGGTGGCTTACATCAGGATTACAGCGCTGGGCAAGAGGACAAATCAAGATTTGCAGATTTGAGTCATTCCCTGACCGTAAGCCAGAAACAGCTGTAAAATATTCATTTTCTTTGGGGAATTTAAATTTGTTTTACTTAGACACATCAACTTTCCAACCGCTTTGCATTCTGAACGTACCTTCTACCACAGGCCATTGATGCAATCACCAATTTAGATCTACTGAAAAAAGGCTTTAAATATTAATTTTTATATATATGTATGTATATATACAGTATATATATATATATATATATATATATATACACACACTCAGATGACTGTAACCTTTGTTTAAAGGCCCCTCAGCTAGTTTTAGAGAATCTGCACATTATTGTAGACATGGTAAAATATTTCACTGCTTTTCTTTCCAGAATTAGTAGACTAGATTTAAATTAGTTTGTTTCCCCACATGTACCTGGCTTTCAGGCATAGTCTTTCCATTTTTAATAGGATTGAGGTCCCTTCCAGAACAGGGACGTTAATCTGCTTATCCAGTATCATGTCCAGGTTTCAGCAGTCACATTTTCAGGTGAAGTTAGTTTGTTTACGAGGCATTTTTTCCTCTTTTATTATTCCAACCAATTTGTGGAGTTCATCAGTGACACCACCATGCTTGAGAGAACAAAGTTTTTCTAGGTCTGAGAAATCAAATGGAGTCCTTTGAATAATTTTCCTTTCATTTTTTTGCCAAGCAGTTGATTCTTTTTCTTTTTTTTTTATTGTTTTTTTTTCCTCAAAAGAGTTTTGCTTCTCTGTGTTTACATCTAATATTTCTTTATTTCAGTTCAAGATAGTTGATTTTAAAGCATCTTTCTCTGTAAGCACTTTATCTGCCATCAACAGCTTTGGCTTCACTTCACCATGAGCAGTGACTGGTGTTACAGCGTCCTCAAACTCACAGCAGGCTTTATCTTTCCCATTTTCTGGGTTGTTTTTGAACATCCCAAATCACTTTGTGAAGTCGCTGTTGTCAGATAACTGATAATTAACATTACTTGCTATTCCTACAAGGAAAAGTATCCAAAAGATTTATCAAAATCAGGTTGTGGAATTGGTAAATTAGGCTGTTGTTGAATTTCTGAAATGGTCTCAATCATAAGCCTTGAAGCCCTTTGGAGATTTGTCAGAATTCAAGCTTGTTTA